ACCTTCTAAAATCTAATCTTCTTCATATATCAAAACAAAAAAATTACTAAACTAATTCCTCCTCAAATTACTCCCTATTCTTCAAAAACTAACAAATTCTACCTCACAAACTAGATGAAACTATAAGATATTTAGATATTTTTTTAGATGGAAATAGTTCATCCAAACTTATAATAAATATTATCACTAACAAAATAAATCAATTTACACATCTTATTAAATTCAAAAAACTTCTTCCTATACATATATCAAGATTATTTAATACTATTATCTCACTAGCAATTAAATACCTTCTTCAAATCTGTGCTCTATCTTAGAAAAAAACTAACCAACTCTCAAGTATTTTAACCAAAAATACTAAACATATACTATATCTATTAACAAATACAAATAATGATATACTCACTAATCCATAACTACTCAACATACTAATACTTAACAAACTACTTCTACTAACAAATAGTAGTAACATCAATAGATGTATTAATTCAAATAATCTCCTAACTCAAATCACTTTATTCTGTATAAAAGAATAGCTAACTAAAGTTTGACAACCAACCTTAACTGAAAAAACTATTCTCTTAAACTAAAGAAAAATACTCAACTTTACAATTATAAACTAACTAATCTCTCTATACAAAAATAATATATCACTTAATAATTTTTCTTTAGATAATTTGCAAAACTAAAGCCAAATATACTAACTTAATTCTATATTCAATTTCCTTCTTACTTTTAATACTACAATAATTACAAGTCTTAGAAATAACCAAATTCTTTTTCTTGAACAACTCCTAATAGCAGATAACTAATATTTCTTTTCATAGAAAAATATCTACTTAAGAACTCATAAATCTCCTTGTGGCCCAATTCCCAAATAGTATAAACTTCTTTCAAATTAAACAACATTATTACTAATAATAGAAATCTAACCAGATATCCTAATAAACTCAAATAACCCTTTTTTCAATATGTTGAATATTAAGGGTTGGGTCCTATGGCTTAGTTAGTTAAGTCTTCAACTCTCTACAGACAAGGTCAACGATTCAAGTTCGGTTGGAGGCATTTGCTTCTGTAATTTTTATGAAAACCATTAATCGAATGCGAAGCCCTATGGTAAAACCTATGTGAAGTACAAGATTCTAGAAAAAGAATTTCTAGAAGGAGATCGATATTATAGAGCAAGTTGGTATTACGTGTGACAGTTGGTGTCACAGAAGGTTCCATTACATGAGTATTGCACAAATAAGTCCTCGAAGAGTTAGGCAGCACCAACATCCCTAGCAGTTGGGAACTTGCTTGGGAGGGTGACACAAAGGTAACACGAGCTGGAATAATAAGTAAAGCGGTGAATATAATAGAAATCTGTGAAAAAAGATTGTTCTAACTAGATGTAGAACACCTCTGGTACATGTAAAAGCTAGAATTAGAAGGTCTTGATTCTGTAGAGAGTTAGCTACTATCTAGGATATGCGTAAAAACCTGAATTGGCAGGAAACACTGAGCTGGTAGTACAATCACACAACTAAGTACAAGGGCATACTAACATTAAACACCAGCCAATGCAGATGCAAGTTAGAAGTAGTACTACGTATTACAAACTTAGTTGGAAGCAACCTTGGTTGCGAAATATAGCCTGTATTCTACCAATATATGGGAGTATCTGGTATTGATAGTCGCACAGCATATGAACACAGTTGTATATCGTAAAACGCTAGCATCTCCATGATCAGAAAGAAGATGTAACAAGTTGCGGGCCTAGGTTTTAGTCAGTGATGTACTAACTAGAAGATATAGAGTTAGGTAGTGAAACTGGCTAGACACCAAACAAGGAGTTATACGTGAGGATTGACGATGCCCCATGTAGCCTATGGTACCTGTCTGGTAGTATCTCTGTATAAGTATGAGTGATGCGAGGAATACAGTAATAGTAATCTAATAATAATAGTCATAGCATAAACCCTAATTGGAAATACTATAGTGGGGTAGTATAAATTAGGTCAAGAATACCTTATAGATAAATTAGTCCTAAGGTTCTATATAGATTTGAATATGTTGTAACCGTTACTTGTAACAAATTATAATAAATTTAATAAAATATCAGCCAAAGAGGTTACTTGTAAAAAAAAAAAAAAAAAAAAAAAAAAAATACGTTGAATATTATTATCCTACAAAATCTAAATAAAAACAACTAGTCTCTCTATACCTTTTCTAATGAATTCAAAATTAGAAAATAATCAACTACTCAACAACCTTAATAATATTTCAAATATATCAACTTATCTCTTCAAATTCAAATTTAATTTATATCTCTCTCACACTAATCAAAATACAAATTAATTACAACTAAACAATTAATATAAAATACAAAACGCAGAAGAAAAAAAATCAATTCAAACTCAGTATAAACCAACAGATGATACAAGCTTTACAAAAAATTCATCTTTATACTCTAACCAATTCACTAACTTCAATACTCACAGAACTAATAATTCCATCACCTGATATCCTTCTAATTCAAAATTCAATTATCAACTCATCTTATCAAAACCAACTTATAAATCTTCACAACTAAATCCTTTTACTAAACTCTAAAAATCTTCATTTCTATACAGATGTATCAATTAAATATTTATAAACACCAAATATCAAAACTAGTATTACATGGATATTCAAAAACAATATCTAAATCAAATTCAATATATCAATTCTCCAAGCTCCAAACTCTACAAGAGCTGAATTATTAGCAATTATATATCTTCTTCTAACATTACCATCAAATTACAAAATTCATATATACCTAGATAACCTCTTAGCAATCCAAATACTCAAAAATAGTCTTCCATATAACCACTCTACTCAAACCAAAATCAATAACTGGTATATTGTTTATATTCTAAACTATTTAATTCAAAAGAAAAATATCTAACTTATTACTCACAAAACAAAATCATACTCAAAAAATTTCTTTCATAATATCACTAACTCTCTAGCTAAACAAGGTACTAACAAAACAGAAATTTAATTCAATACCTAATACTATTACTTACCTTTATTCTTCTTATGGAACAATATTCTCTTATTATTTAAAATACACAAATTCTGTACAAATATTCTCTTAATTCAAACCTTCAACAAACTTATACAACTTAAAACATTTCGCAATTTACTACTCTTCAATATCCTTCAACTTACTAACATAATAAATTTACAAAATAGTAACCCAAAACTATATTTTCTCGAAAACAAAATTATTTTAAACAACCTACTAACAATAGCAAACTTAAATATTTGCAACTCAAACCTATACCTTACACCAAATTGTGTATTTTGTAATCAATATGAAGATACAAAACACATACTCTCCTGCACACTTCATTCTATCAATTTACACAAAATATTACTTAACCAAATAACAACTATCTTAAACACATCTAATTTAAACAATATTTTTGCTTTATCTATCTTTCACCTAATTACTCACTATAACAACTCTTCAAATCTAACAAATACTATCTTACTTCTTTTATAAGGAATAGTTCTAGCAACTTGTTATAACAAAACTAATTCTCTACTCAAAAAATCAACTAATAACTTTTTTATCCAACTCTCTAACTCTCTTCTTCTCTGGTTCAATAACAAAATATAGAACAACAAAAATCAAATCTACTATGAATAGAAAACCACTTGTAGCATCTCTCAAAAAACTAAAAAAAATACAAATCAAATATACTTTTCACAATTAATACTTACTAAAACTACTACTACAACCTATAACTCTAATATAGATATATATATACAAAAATTCTTACTTCAAAACTTCTCTATATTTAATTGTTTTTTCTAATTTTCATTCTTAACTTAGAGATTTCCTTCAACCTTTTCTATAGTTGATAGTAACTTTTGTTTAAATTGACTAGCAAATAGAAAATGAAAATGTAATATCACATTGGATATTTAACTATTACAAATAGCCTTAGCAACAATAGTGAAATTTAGGAATATATATTAGCCTCACATATATATTATTTTGATATATAAATATACTAATCTCTTTTCTAATTGATATTATTAATAAATTAAAAAAAAATAAAAAATAAAAAAAAATAAACAATAAATAAAGTTGTATATATAGCTTGTTGTATACTCTTTCTATAATTACAAATAGTAGAAATTATCAATATATAATTCTATTTGCAACTCTAATAAAATTTCTTTAGCAATATAAGCTATCTTTAATAACAAAAAAAAAATTATATTTTTCTATTTTGACTATATTTATTTGATATTAGTATATTTTGAAATTACTTTAAAAAATACCTTCTAAGCTATCTGAATTCTCTAAATTATCTGAATTTTCTAAATTTTCTAAATCCTCTATATTAAATTATAAGTATTCAAGATTATATAATAATTTCAAATTAGCTCTATTAATAGTAGGATTTTTTGATTATCTTCAAAATTTTTTTTATTTATTGATTTTAAATATGGTATTATATTAGTACATTTATATGCATATAATATTATTTTCTAAGCATGAAATTCAATCTCATTCAGTTTATAAGTAAGCAAATATATTATGATAAGTATATAATAGAATTTAATTATTGAATTTTCTTAATGAATTTAAGTAAAAAACAAATGTTGCTAATTTACTAATAGGCTAGTTGTAATTTTTCAGTTTCTTATCTGTTGTTCAAATATAATTTCTATTGTATAAGAATTATCTTAATTTTGTGAAGTATAAGTTATATTAGAATTAGATTTTATTAACTTTGTATGAATAATATTTTGAATAACAGGATGATTTAAGCCATATAGTATTTCACCATCAAAATTTATTTTAATTCTAGCCTGTAACTATATATTGTTAGTAGATTGACCTTCAAAATGCTATAAAACTTTATTATTCTTATAAAAATCTAAAGTATATTATTATTTTTTTTTTGTAAAATGAAAGTTTTGTTACTCTTTTTTGTTAGTATTGATGATATGAATTTTTAGTCTTCTATTTTCAATACTACTAAAATATGATTTCTAATATTTAAAAAAATAGATCTAAATAATACACCAATTAACAATTTCTTGACTATTTTTTCATCATTAAGCCTAAGAATCTCAGGCTCTGAATATGTTGTCTTTGTTTCAAAAATTATACGATAAATGCTGTTAATAGATTGAGATAGTGTTAAACAAATCTTACTTGTTTCATTACTACTAAAACAAACAAACCCAGGTTGCAATTGATTTTCATCATTTTGAACTACTTTTAGATAAAATTGGCATTGGTTAAGTATAAAACTAATGTGCATATAAAGTCTATATGGAACAGAATTGGAAATATTATCTTCGCTATTAAATAGTCGCAGTGACCACCAGTCACAAGCATAAGGACCATAATGTTGCTCCGAACGTATTTCACCTTCTGCAAGCAAACGAACACTTTTGTAAATTGAGTTATTCATAGTTTATTACATTCAGTTTTGGCATTTACAACCGTGAATTTTTATTTAATAAAATGCGCCAATTAATTCACTTTTAAAAAAGAACTACCAGTCTGATTTTAATGATTTACCATTATTAGAACTAGAAAGACCTAATAAACAACTTTAATTAATACCAAAAATAGGAGGTGACAATAGCAATTTCCTATTATAATATTCAAAATTAATTTATTGGTATTTGCATTATATCTTTGTTAGTTTTATATTCAAGACAACAATTTATATACTGGTTAACATTTGTACTCTTAATTATAACTAAATTGCTATATAAACCGCTATAATAAAAAAGCAACTGCCTGTGTCTATACCTTTAATACGTATACGAAAAATGACGGTAATATGCATATTCATTTTCGTGCAGAGGTAAATAAATACAAATGAATATTTAAGAGTATCATAAATGAAACCTATAAATCATAATAAGACGTGATGATACGACTGGCATAAAGATTCGGCAGCATTCGTGTCATAGTACCACATAACACCAAAGACCAAATTTGTGTGTATAATGATTTTCTATTTAATAGGGTTCCAATTTATGATTTTTACGGAATAATATTGGCGTAAATTGAATGTAAAATATTAACAAATAAAATGTTTGGATCTATGTAATACTAAAGTATATTATATGACAATACACATGAAATATAACCATTCTTTCAACTATAACCCATCA